CATTAGGCTTTTATACATGGTAGACTTGTGTGTCAGAGCTGGGTGGAAATGCTATGTTGGTCGGGGACAGCATTGGGAAATAGAGGTGTGTTTTTTGAGCCCATGTCGACCTTTTACCGTGGGGAAGACAACATATCAAAATGAAGAGCCAAAACAACAGTCTTCTATAATCACAGCACAACACAGCAAACTCATCATCCATGCGGAGCCATTTATACATTTTCAAACATATTTTCACAAGGACAATACTTTTAATTTTACAGCTAAGCCTGTCCAATAACACATAATGGAGGATCTGGTGATTGTCCTCTTGAATGTTTTGCTTATCTGAAGGCCAAAGCTACTGGCACCGGGAAATCTTCTGATTGGAGCGTCTACGATTTCTCCGTGCTTTGAAATCACATGCAAGCTGTAAAACTCTGTTCTTGTCTCGTCTTCACCATCAACGCTTAAACATGTCTTCTGTCTGTGACACAACCCCAGACCCCCCCATCATTTTCTTCACTATTATGGATCTTTATGAGACTTTTTGAGCAATTATGTTAAAACTGAGCTCGTCCTTTCAACAGATGCAGAAGTCAGTACTTTTCTACTTGATGTTTTGGTCTGAAGGTCAGTGGTCAGTTGAGGGGAGCGTCCTTATTTTGTGTGGGTATGAAACCAAGTGAATCAATCTCTGTTTGTGTAATTTTCTGCTGTGAACCAACAATAAACATGTCTTCTGCTGTGACACAATCCCAGACCTCTGCATCTTTTGTCATTTTCCTCACCATATAAGAACGCAAAAGCCCAAACTCAGATGGTAAGTCACTCCTAAAACAATTTGCTTTCTGTTTTAAAACTGTTTTAAAAATGTATCCAATGGAACCATTTTAAAACAGAAAGATATAGGCTATACAATACATAAGAATGTTTTATTTGAATACAAAGAGAAGCTTAATTGAAAACCCAGATTTGTGTTTGAAGATTTCTGCCTCCCCCTCCCACACCACATCTTCAGTGTGTCACAATGGCAGGCCGTTTCTTGATTATCCCAATCTGGCAACGATAATGAGGGGAACGACAGGATGAGAGAGGCAGGACGTGGAATCAAGGCAGATATCAAAGAGGGCTCTAATTGAGGTAACACATCCAGCCAAATCTACAGCACATTTGCATAAGGCCATCTCTAATGTCGCTAATGTCTTAACAAATTAATTTTGTTAATTAGACACGCCCAGTGGAGCTCACCAGCAGATTAAGCACATTAAACAAACAGAGGATGATTACCCTTGGGCGGGCTAAGAGGTGCTCGCTGCTCCAGTGTAAGTGCTTGACATGGATCACAAAATAACACTTAAAGATGCCACACACCTGTCACCAAGCAAAAGCCTGAAAATATGTCGGAGACGGATTCACAGCAGCAAGAAGCTAAAACTGTGCACAATCCGGCTCCAAAGACTCCCTCCAGTGGGGGAGATATAAGCACGGACGTGGGACCATTTTTTACATATAAATATTTGATATGTTAGGCAAAAGTACTTGAAAGAAAAGCAGGCAGAGCGTAGGAGGAAGAGACGTTTGAATGTACGAGTGGCACAGTCAGACACACTTCTATTAAAGCAACATTATTGGACAGAAAGAGAACGCACTAGTCCCTTGTTGAACATAAGCCGCAACTGTGCGCAAACGCTTATATTGTTATTTTCCATCAACGTGTTTGGCTGACAGATATTTAGTTAGAGGAGGAAATATAGACACACGTAAAGGGGCTTAAGAGACTGGTTTTAAGTGGTGTATGCTTATATACAGTATTTGAATAATTTAAAAGCAAAGATACCAAACTTTGAAGCCACAAATAAGTATCATGTAATGTGTATGTATATGTACAAAAATATCAATTTCATTTATTTTTGTATAGGCCTCAATCACCGCACAATGTTGTCGATTCCTCAACAACAGTTCAGAGAATCAGCTCGAACACAGGAAATTACAATATTTAAAAAATGTGTCCTGGATCATCTCTGTCTTTAGGCTCTCACGCATTGCCAAGGAACTCAACTCAAAAACACACTGGGAAAAAGTGAGAAACCTCGGGGAAGCCAATAATGAGAGAGGGGTCTGCTCTATTGACAGGCTATAGATCCAGGACTCAGACTGTAGAACGAGAACTGAGGCATTGTGGGGCAACCTTGTAACTAGTTCCTATGGGTCTCACATCAGATCAGCACCAGCTTCCACTCAGCCAATTAGTTCGCAGTATTTAAAATGAATGTTATGGTTCACAAAATGTTACTTTCTGTTGAGACACAATTAATTTATGGACGAAACAACATTAAATATTTGTATCTTAGCCTTGTCTTTTTCAAATCATGCATGATTCTCACACAAATAGTTATGTTATGCTAGTATTACAACTACAAACTAAAAACTTCAGGCCTTTCTGTGTAGAGTTTGCATGTTCTCCCCGTGTCTGCACCGGGTTTCTACCTCCTGTATGGCGACCCCTCTCCCATCTCTGTGTGGAGCGAGATACAAATGCCCACAACAAATGCTTTGTGACTCTGGCCTTTGAAAGCTGCTATATAAACACAAATTACTTACTTACTTAAAACTTAAACTAATTCCAGTCTTGTCTGATAAAGAATATAAGGCTGTTACAGATTCAGGACCTTCAACACATTGTGTGGAAATATCCCGGTGTGTTAAGAGCCAGGGCTGGTGTCTTGTAAAGCAATAGCCTCTCTCCAGCCACCAGTCTCCCGGTGTGGTGTGGTGACAGCTGCTGCCCCCAGTGCTGCTCAAATGAATAGATTATGAGCAGTAATTAGGTATACAGCAGAATCAATGTGCTCCGGGGCCAGGCCTGGGGCGGAGGGAGCAGAGGGGCAAGGAGGGAGAGGAGGGAGAGGAGGAAGAGGGGGACTGCAACAGAAAGAGGAGGTTCAAGGGTGACAAATGCCATTATTATTGAGATTATTTTGGTATTTTGATGAACAGAGAAAAAGGGTAATTTTGTCTTCATAACCGTCTTTTTAATTACTCTGACACAAACACATTGTGGTTACTGATGTTTTTGATTTATCGAGGACAAGGGCGATCAAAATAGAAAATTACACAGAAAACAACATAAATGGTAAGTAAGTATTTGAGTAAGTAATCTTAGTAATATCTATTCATATTATGTCTATTTTATATTGTCTTAGTAGTATTATATTTATAAAGGCAAACAAGAATAAAAACACACACACACACACACACACACACACACACACATACAAAGGCAAGCACACACACACAAAACAGACTTGACATCATAAACACCTTATATAACAAAACAATAAACAAAAACCAAACAATATAATGGTCTTCAGCTACACATTTATTCCAAATTCGTTACCACAACATTGTTTATGCTGGATACTGGACTTAAAACTCATGATTATTATTCTGTTTATGGGTCTACAAGGTTTTACAATTCAAGATTTATCAACAAAATTTCAAGAAAAGGTGTCCAACTTGCTTAAATCAGAATCTAGTTCATATCATATTGGTTCAGAACTGACTTTCAATACTTTTGGCAACCCCCGTGTAGACAAAGCTCAATTGTTTTTTTTGGTGTGATTCCCAGACTATTGTACCATTTCATATTGAGATAATTACCCTCACTTGTCACATGACTGGTGTGGACTCCTCTTCTCAAATCTTGCCTGTGATTTGAATGCTGTCACATGGGGCCACGCTGACATCATTAATGCTAAAAGGTTTGAGGGCTCCAAAATAAGTCCATGCAGATGAGGGGGTGAGGTGCGCGGTCCCAGTCCCGGATGTGCCCACAGTAATGCGTCCCCCCCCCAGCCCCTCTTTGAGTGACTGCGGAGTGCTGTCTGACCTGCCTGTGATCTGCTCCATAATTAACATATGCTTGTTAGTCAAGGTTGGTTGGAGGCTTCATGACCATAAGTGAACAGAGACCAGCGATGATGATGGATTTTATATTTAAATTCGGAGACACTGTACACAGGGAAGGCCAGAAATAAACTGGATTACTTCTTTAAGTAAGTAAGTATGATATCTTCATTTATACAGTAAATGTCACAGACCAAGTTCACACAAAGCGCCAAATACTCACTACGCATCAAAGCATTCAACCAATACCATCCATTCACCCTCTCATTACATTTATACCTACTGTACATGTCTAGTGATAGGGGAAACCGGAGCCCCTGGAGGAAACCTACATAGACACAGGGAGAACATGCAAACTCCACACAGAAAAGCCTGGTCTGGAGGTGGAAACGAGCCCAGCGAAAAGCATAGAACAAAAATCAATTTCTGGTCCTGGCTTCGAATCCCGGCTGGAACAGGGCCTTTCTGAGAGGAGTTTGTATGTTCTCCCTGTGTCTGCGTAGGTTTCCTCCTTGTGCTCCGGTTTTCCCAACAACTAAAAACATGTTCAATACAGTAGGTCTGGCCTACCCCTCCTGTACTGGGTGCCATCTATGTCTAGAGTGCGAGACAAATGCCCACAACAATTCTAAAGCGCATTATGACTCTTCTGTGAAAGGCGCTTCTGTATATAATTAAAGATTACTTACTTACTTACTTCACACAGAAAGACCTGGAGGTAGACTTGAACCCAGGGCCTTCTTGCGTTGAAGTACAAGCACTAACCACTGCACCACTAGTTAGCTGACCACTCTCCAGCCCCGATTCTCCAAACAGTATTACCCGAGCATTTATTTCTCTGAGCCTCAATGTCCATGTACAAACAGCCCCTAACAGCCGGACATCTTGGTTAAACCTGATCAAATTTGTCTAGAAAATGACTCCGGAGCCCGTTAATAGGGTGATGAATATTATGTGCTGAATGTGCACGTGTCATATTTGTCCAATCTCTGCACCTCATTTGGACATAATGAAGACTCGGCCCAGCTCTTGTGATTATTCGCTCTGCTCCCAGGGCGCTTGACCCTCTCAGCAAAGATAAATAGAATCTACTTAACCTGCTCAGATAATAGATGAGCACCATTGAGATCCACGAGGAAGCGGCTTGTCAATGTGTTCTGCTCAACTTTGCTCTGGCAGTGAGATAAAAGCTGTGTCTTAATTTGCTCAACACCTTTATAATGCAAAAAAAATAGTAGCCACAGTTTATTAAGATGTGCTATGAATACATTTTAGACAGACAAAACTTGGAAACTGGGCTGGTGCTCTGTGTACTGGGTGCAACTCTGACTGCCACCCCCGACCCAGCAATGGATTAAGGGGAAGAAAATGGATGGATGGATGGATGGAGACTAACCCATGTTTCTTTCTCCTTCTATTGTTTGAATATTATTTTTTAATCAGATAAATAATGTTTCAACTTAAGTAACTTTGCTAAACGGTAACATCCTTAAAACAGTCACGGACGTCCACAAAATAACGATATTCCAATGGCCCCCCGGAGAGAGTAATTGCCCACCCCTGGTCTATATCATACATTAGTTTTACGTCAAATTGCGGTAATAAATAAACTTATTAATGATGTTGTAATTCGTCCAGTTTCCCCTGTATGTACTTGATATCATGATGATCTAACACTTGCAACTTTGTCCTCAAACATAATCCAAAATCTCACGCTGTAACCATGGATGCAAAGCTCTGCTAATGCACACCCCTGCTTTTTGCGCATCCGCCGTCTCCCCAGCTCGCCCTGCAGGACACCATTGTTCCAAAAATGTTGATGCGCTGCATATTTTGTCCGACTTGTCTTCTGGCGACTGGCTTTTCCCTATCTCCTGCGTGGAGCTGGAGTCTCACCAGTCTGATCTCGTGCATGTTTAGACGTGGCTCTGGGCTGGCGTGCTGCTGTCTGCCTATAGAGCGCTGGAGCAGAGGTTGTGTGTGAGAGCCTGTTTGCCTTTGCCGCATCTCAACGACATCAAAGTGCTGTGCAAACTCAGCCCCTGGCACCGCTTTGGATTCCCGTCTCCCTCCTCCACGGTTTAAAGCGGGCAAGACAGGAGCGACCCACGTTAATAAAAGAGCTGTTATTCAAAAGAGGAGAGCGGTATATGTGTACGTGCTCGTGTGGCCCATCTGTGAGAGAGCGTGAGGTTTAAGTGAGAATAGATGCAGAACAAAGGTCAGGAAAGGAAATGGGAGACGAAAGAGGAAGTGTGTATCCCTTAAGCACTTCTTGTCGTCTTTTATTTGTAGCGAGGAGGGGGTGAATCAAACAATACACAGGGCCACAAATTGGGCAATGTAAAAAAAGGTTTGTTCTGGGTTGAAGTTGTTATTATGAGGAGAGATAAAAGAATAAGATAAGTCGTCTTAAAGCAGAGCTAAAGCGAAATCTAATACTGCAGACTGCCTTTCATCAGTGTTTGGATGAATAAAAGGCAGGTTGGAAAAGACAATGAGAGATGAGATGGAGTAACAAGGTAAAGATAGATATTACATTCAGAATAAATCAAACCAAATCATTTAGTGACTTCTCAGCTCAGATTCAGATTCAGATTCAGATTCAGATTCAGATTCATTTATTTGCCATTTGCAGTAAAACCACATTGGAAAAACTGTGCTAGACTACCCCAGTGTCCACCAGGCCGGGGGCAACGTACACACACCAGAGTTCTTGCCATTCTTAAATTCTGTTAGTGAAGTTGTGTCCTTTGCCAGATGGTAAATACAGAGGCCAGCCAGCTCGGAGCCACAAAGACGTTACCAATCGCGATAGATTGGCTTTCAATATCCAACATAAATCAATACCAGAAATAGCACTGAAAAATAGCATTTGATCCCTGTTGAAACCACAGCGATATAAATTATGTAAAAACGGGTTCAACTTTTATCCTGAAGGAACTACACAACACGTTCTGTGTCGGTATCAGTAGTTGATAGTCTTATTATATCACATAAAAAGTACATTCAAGACCCATCCATCAACAACATTGCCAATATCGATACCCACCAGTACCACATTGATGCATATGTAATGTGAGGAACACATGAAAGGAGATCAACAATTCAATAAATTATGATCACTTTAAATTAAATTAAAAAAGGGTTTGAGATTATGTTATTAAACTCAGAAGAAGAATGTGGCCGGTTCCGGATGGCATCTGAAACGTTGTCCTCAAACTAAATTGTAATTAAAATAAAATAAAATAGCAAACACATAGTCTGTGAATGTTATTAAATGTCCAAAAACGTTCTTAACTTTCCTCAGACCCTCCTGCATCGCTAAAAATCGATTCAAAAATCCACTGGGAAAAGTTATACAGATCTCATGCTGTGAACTTAGATGCAAAGTTATTTTAAAGAACACACATGCTTTTTTCACTTCCAACTAGCCCTGCATGACATCATTGTTTTTAAAGGTAACATTAATTGATTGATTGTTAATTGATTTTCAAGAGAACATTACCTTTGTATTAGGGTCACAAATGCAAGTGACATAACACGTAAATAAACACAAAGAATGTGGCCAGTTCCAGTGTGAGATTATCATTCGATTCTTTCCCTATTATTTGTAACACGATCCAACAACAGTGACTTTATCAGTGTGACGAGAGAGCGAGCAGAGCAGCCCATGGAGCTCAATTGAAAGTTGTAAAATAAAATACTTTGTAAAGGGGAAATAAACGCTGCGGCGAGTGGAAGATTCACGCGCTCAAATAAACTAGGGCTTTTGAATTTTTAATTGCGTTGGGCCCTAATTATGGCCATCAGACAGCAGCTCTAAACACACTCTGTGCACTTTCTCCACATTGCTCTTCCCCCCCCCCCAATGCCTCGTCTCCGGGTTGGCTGTGGACGAAGCCTCAGCCTGGGTGTATTTTTCCGTGCCATTAATATTTGATGAAAATGGGCCAAGCCTGCTTCATCTGCTCATCGCCACTAAGAACATGGCCACCATTACGAGCCCCTGCACTTCCTCCCCTGCATTAGCGAGAGACGACAGCTAGCAAAAAGGCCCTGTATATGCAAAAAAGGAGGTGTGGTTGGGTATTGGCTGCCTGTGTGTGCGCGCCTCCACTGTCGATTGACGCTATTAGATGTTGAGAAACAGTTGGGTGTGAGCGATAATTGAGCTGACACTAATAATGAAAGCAGATACTGTCTAGAGCAGCCCTTGGCAATATGCTAAAGATATTGATGCCCCTAATAATTCAGGGGCTCGACAGAGTGGTGGAGGAATCATGTTTTTTTCTTCCAGTGCAGGAAGCAGGGAAATAAGATTTAAAATGGCCCTAAAATGCAGCGGCGGGCTCCATTCGTTAATGCGCACTCCGGCTTGGGCGTTCAGTCATAATGTATCACCGACAAATGCACAAGGACGTACGGGCGTTAGGTGTGATCAAGGGCAGCGGAAATTGGCGTATGTTTTTATTGAAGTAATATTGTACAGATTCTATAAGCGATAAAGCTGGAAAGGCCTTTAATCACAGAGAGGGAGATCAATCAAAATAACATTTCTTTGGTATTATCACAATTGGAGGGCCTTCTTAAAAGTTCAGTGGTCGTGCATATATAAGGAGCACATATTTGTTACTGTACGCCTGTATGAATCATCACTGGGGTGGAGGTGTGTTAAAGGGGACATATCATGCTTGTTCGCAGGGTGTTCAATGGAGAGATTTAACAAAATAATACATAGTTGTTTACATTCTGTCCACTATTGATTCATTTGCATTTTATTCTGTGTATTATTTGATTCTTTTTCAAACCTGTATCTGTGATCATGTGAACTTGTGGACTGCATGTCATTCATTCATTTCCTACCTTTCTGCTCAAAATGACAAAAACTCATTAATGCTATTTCATTTATTTATGTTTTGTTTTGATTACTGACAAAAAAATCTAACAGGACAGGACAATCAAACTAAACTAACATCTTAAATAAAATAAACAATCAAGTGAAGTCAAACCTATTGGTAACCTATTGCTATTGCAAAATGTGTCACCTCTGTTATTATTATTATCATTATTATCATACTAAAATTCTAAAATGTCATGCTGTATTAAAGCTGGGGTGCTTAGCTTTCAAGTCGCATTAAACTATGCAGTAAAATCCATGTAACTAGTTCCTATATTTGAATACAGTTTGTTCCTATCACTGCTTTTTACATGCATTTTATTTTTCAACCTCAGTCACATCACAATCTTCTTTGTTCAGGCAGAAAAGTGGAAAAAGAAGACCACCCTGACTCAGCCAATCAGCTCCCAGCCCAAAACATCCAACTGTAACTCACATGGCTCATTCTTACAAGTAGTAAGTAGCAAAAGATAACATATTTTCTAATACGATGAAGACGACGGCGTGTTGTGGTTTGGTTCGTTCACAACATCTGACATAAAAAAAACTAGGTACCCCAGCTTTAATGAGTAAAGTGTCTTTGATTGGTTTGTTTTGTTTAATGACCACATTCTCCCATCGTCGTTTTGCCCCCAGTGCTTCTTCAGTCACATCAGGCCTCTTGTTACGGTGCAGCGCGGAGAGGAAATTTCGGATATTGTTTTTATTGAAGCAATGGTAGTTAGTAATAAGAACAACTGGCGGCTTATATTGGATTTGACAGCGCAGGTACAGGGCAGGTACGGCTGGCCTCTCTGCTTGTCTCAGCACACACACACATGTTTTGTTTCATTGTATCACTCACAGGGGAATGCGGTGAGCTCGTGTCGGCCGCCGCGTTGGTTTGTGTCGAGTCTTTGTCAAGGACCTTCATAATGACCAGCTCAACCTTGTGACTCCAGTCTGAGAGGCCCGCGCTCCCTGGGGCCATCCCGAGCAGAGGGGAGGGGAGGCCCCAGGAATGTGAAATAAGGTAGCATCGTGTCCATCCAACCCACATGAAGGATGCATTTTCCTTGATATATAGTGATAAAAATACCAGGTAAAATGTTTCAGTTTTCTTGGTCATAATATGCAATTTGAATCAAGGTTATTTAAAACGAAGAAAGTATGTGAGTCCAAGACAAATTTCCTACGGGACATAATAAATTAATCTTGAAATCTTGAATCTTGTATATTTTTGTTACTTTTGGAAAATCCTGTGCAGAATATTGAACGATTAGGATCATTTCCATTGTACTAACAATGTAAATATTATAATAATAATCTTGCATGTGTTTACTTTGGATTAGATTCGACTTTTCATAATGTTCTATCTATCTATGTATTTCATTATATATCTTATTTTAACAAATAAAAAACTGAAAAGTGGGGCGTGCAATATTATTCGGCCTCCTTGCGCTAATACTTTGTAGCGCCACCTTTTGCTGCAATTACAGCTGCAAGTCGCTTGGGGTATGTCTCTATCAGTTTTGCACATCGAGAGACTGGAATTCTTGCCCATTCTTCCTTGCAAAACAGCTCAAGCTCAGTGAGGTTGGATGGAGAGCGTTTGTGAACAGCAGTCTTCAGCTCTTTCCGCAGATTCTCGATTGGATTCAGGTCTGGACTTTGACTTGGCCATTCTAACACCTGGATACGTCTATTTGTGAACCATTCCATTGTAGATTTGGCTTTATGTTTTGGATCATTGTCCTGTTGGAAGAGAAATCTCCGTCCCAGTCTCAGGTCTTATGCAGACTCAAACAGGTTTTCTTCCAGAATGGTCCTGTATTTGGCTCCATCCATCTTCCCATCAATGTTAGCCATCTTCCCTGTCCCTGCTGAAGAAAAGCAGGCCCAAACCATGATGCTGCCACCACCATGTTTGACAGTGGGGATGGTGTGTTCAGGGTGAAGAGCTGTGTTGCTTTTACGCCAAACAAATTGTTTTGCATTGTGGCCAAAAAGTTCAATTTTGGTTTCATCTGACCAGAGCACCTTCTTCCACATGTTTGGTGTGTCTCCCAGGTGGCTTGTGGCAAACTTTAAACGAGACTTTTTATGGATATCTTTGAGAAATGGCTTTCTTCTTGCCACTCTTCCATAAAGGCCAGATTTGTGCAGTGCACAACTGATTGTTGTCCTATGGACAGACTCTCCCACC